GGGGGGGGGGGGGGGGAGGGAGTTGAGAAACGGGGCACCTGGGTCAATGTTACGAACGCCGCGCGCGCGGGCGTCCAGTCATCCGTTTCGTCGCGAATTGAGACCGCCGGCGGTTCTCGAGAGTCGAAACGAGGCGTGAGCATCTCGCGATTCAATTAAACCTGCCACTCGTGCGAAAAGGTGGCGGGGATAATAACGAGAGCCGAGAACTCCTTTCATGCGTATCCGCTGCGAACGAGCGAGAGAGAGAGAGAGAGAGAGCGATAAATAAATATTCCGCAGTCGCACGTTGCTTTTTTGTTCTCACTTTCTCGTTCTATCTCCCCCTATCCTCAGACTCGCTGTTTCCCCTTTTCCGAGGGTGCAGCCGCCTCACGGTGTTTTATGAATTCCTTATGAGTCGACGCGTCGGTCAAGGGGTGGCGGCGCAGGGACGGGAAGGAATGACGGAGGAGCTCGCAGAGACACGGCTTTTCTTCTTTCTCGAGCTCGCATGACGACGACGACGACAACGAGGAAGACGTCGACGTCGACCTATAGCCGCGCCGAGGCTTCTTTTCCGCAGCCTCGAAAAGCTCCGAGGCGTTCTGCGACGCACAGAGAAATATTTCCCGGGTCGTGAGAAATCCTGAAAGCGGAGAAGCAGCGTTTCGAGAGGATGAGAGACGGCCGGAGAGGTAGGGAGGATACGACGTACGGTAGGGAAGCGGAAGGTAAAGCTCCCAAGAATGAAAGGAGAGGGCTTTACTGGTGCGCGAATAATAACGACTCGCATTCTCTCCGGCTGTCGTCGGTTTTCGATTTGAGGCGCGAACTCTTCCCTCTTTCTTCGCGTGTACGTATATCTCTGTCCCTTTTCCATCGTCTTCGTTTTCTTCTTCTTCTCTCTCTCTCGCGGGATCTTTTTTGCCCTCTTCCAACAGTAGTCTTTCACGTGGGTTTGCCCCTTTTCCGCAAGCACCGTTCGATCCAATCACTAGATCGGATTGCACGTGGGAGGAAGAGGGCGCGAGGGTGAGGGCGGGGTAGCAAGGAGGAACATGAAAATGCAGTTGGGTAACGAGCCGCTGAGCGGAATAGAAGTTTTATCGTGCAGCCAGGGCGCGAGCGAGCGAGCGAGCGGAGGAGGTATAAATTCAAAGTGACGCGAGAAAGCGGATCGATGGGAACGTAATTCTTCGCTCCTCGGAACTCGGTAAGTACGGCGTCAATTTGTTCGATGGCTCGGAACTCCCTTCCGTTAAAAAAGAAGACGATAGACCGCCTCGCCGAGATCGGACTGTCGATCAATATGGAGTATACAGGCGAAACGTCTTGACAGGATAAAGGATCCGGCTAAGAAAAAAAAAAAGGAGAGGGAGGGAGGGAGAGAGAAAGAGAGAATGGGTTCTCTCGCGGCGGCGGTGGAGAGTTTTTAAAATTTATCACCACTTAGGCCATTAACGCGCGTTAAATAAAGAGGAATTTCAAAAAGGAAGATGAAAGGGAGAAAACGAAAACTGACGAGTCGCGACGTGAACGCGAGGCCGTCGATTGTTTTAAAAGGTTTCGGTGTGATGGACGAAGCGTTGCGGGGGTGGGCGGACGGAAAATATGTACGCAGCGAGAAGCAAAAGGACTTACCTGGCCAACAATCGGTAATATTATACGACGCGGGGCGAGTAACCCCATTAGCATTCATATTTCAATTTCACAGCCCTCAGGGTCGCAGTTTGAAACTGTGCAAGGTACCCGGAGCGGCGAACGGGCGGAACGGGGGAGATAAACGGAAGAGAATTCACAGGGAACAGCCAGAGGGGCAGTGGGGAGGTGGGGAACGGGAGCGGCGGAGGACGTACGGGCGAAAGAGGAGAGCTAATATCGATGGCAACCTATTACCATCTATCTCCATACCGATGTAATGGACGCGCAGCCCCGATTATCAATCCGTAATAATTGTGCATATTAAACGGGCGCTAATTATCGGGCTGGCAGCGTGCCGCGGGCGCCATCGGCGAATCGAACGAGTTACAGCCTCGGCTCTCTCTCTCTCTCTCTCTCTCCATCCCTCTCAGTAAATTTCAGCACGACCGAAAGAGGATCAATAACCAAAAAATCGTCGCCCGACTGGGCGCGAAAATACTCGAAAATCAAATATTCAACTGTTTTTCGCGATTCCCGAAGTGGTTCGCGAATTTTTCAACGAGCGCGCACACAGGCTTAATCACCCATTCGTTTCGGCATCGCCGATTAATGCGGAAACGCTGTTACGACGCTCGGAACCGTTTAATCGACGCCCAGCCAACTGCGCTCATCGATATTCATCGATCCCAGAAAAAAAGAGAGGTGGGAGAAAGAAAGAGAGAGAGAAAGAAAGAAAGAAAGAGTGAGTGAGTGAGTGAGTGAGTGAGTAAGTGAGTGAGTGAGTGAGTGAGTGAGTGAGTCAGTGAGTGAGTGAGTCAGTGAGTGAGTGAATGAGTGAATGAGTGAGTGAGTGAGTGAGTGAGTGAGTGAGTGAGTGAGAGAGAAGTTCCAAAGCTTCGGCATCGATTCTCCTTCGCCGTGCGAGCCTTTTGCGCGCGGAGCAATCGATCGCGGGACGATCTCGCAGGACACTCGAAACCTGGAGGCGGAGAGAGCGCGAACGGCGGTGCCCTCGAGCGCTCTCGAGGCTTTTTTCCTCTCCGGAGCGCTTTTAATAAACGCGCGCGCCACAACCAGCGGGCGCTTTATGTTATCGAAGAAAGAGAGAGGAAAGCAGAGAGATAGAGAGGCCGGGAACCAGAGAGAGGAGGGAGAAAAGTGGAGGAGGAGGAGAAGATATATATATATATATAAAGAGAGAGAGAGAGAGAGAGAGAGAGAGAGAGAGAGAGAGAGAGAGGCTACCGGGTGGTCGATGAAAGCGGAAGGGGATGCTTTTGACGACGAGCTTTTTACGGCCCTATGTTCCGGTTTTCAGGCTTTTACGTCCATTCCGCGTTTCCTCCACCTTCGTCGCCATCTCCGCCTTCCACCCTACCCGCACATCTCCCCGCAGCGCACTTCTCTCTCTTTTTCACAGCCGCTTTCGCCTATCGCGTTAATTCTCTCTCTCTCTCTCTCTCTCTCGATCCGGCTCGTCCACCTCCGCTACCGTCCAATAATACATTGCGCGTAAGCGGCGGTCTAATCCCCTTTATGAGGTGAAATTTTACACGCCCGGGGAGTAGAACGCGCCGGTGTGTTCCCACCCTCTCGTTCGCGACGGGCTAAATGAGAAATCGCTAAGTACTTAATTGATACTCACATGCCTCTCCTCGGCTGGATTGAGACCTGCAACAAACCGTAAAAATCTCGCGTTATTATTAGTCATCACTGCGTGAGAGTCATCGTTATCGTAATGCTAATGAAAATTGTGATCTAATTATTAAGCTATTGTCGTGGAGCTACATGCGTAAAAAGACTTCGACTCGTCGCGGTGGCCCCACCAATTCCGAACAACATTTCGAACATCATGCACGCAAGGTCGACGGAAATCTAGCTGTTACCACCGGGGGAACGGAAGGCCATGAATGTTTTTCATTATTATTGCAGCGTCGAAGCGAATGGAGTCGGTGGCATGTCGACGGAATCTTTTCCACGGCAATGATAAAAGGGAAGCGGGGAGGAGAGAGAGAGAGAGAGAGAGAGAGAGATAGATAAAGGGGGGACCGCGAGAGTAGCTAGACTTCTCAAGGATTTCCGAGACGGCAGACGAGGAGAAGAACGGGGAAAAAGAAAGGCCGGGGCTGGAACGGGGGGAGAAAGCGGAGAAAATCCTGAAGGAAAAGCTTTGTCCTCGAGAAGCCGAGTTCATAGTTTGCCCTCGCTCGATTTCCCCAGTTTCCTCTTTCCCCTCGTCGTCCCCTCCTCCTCTTTCGCCGCCTCCTCATACTTCGGTTGGTACATTTCGGTCTCGCAGGAAATATCCTAACGATATCTTTTTCCTCCCGTTACCCGTCCTACGATAAGAATTACACGAGCCGTTTATGTTCCGCGCGCGCGCGGACCACCTATAAATTGCCTCTTCTCTCTGTCTCTCGCGACATTAACCACCGTGGAAATAAAATATTTTTACCGGCGCAACGCGCAGAAAGAGGAAGAGAAGGGAAAACGGAATTCCGATATCCGCGATATATTCCTAGCAACGGTCGACTTAAAGTAAGAACGTCGTCGAGCGGAGCCTTATAATTCCGAGCGGAAAAGTACGCTCGGGCGGGCGATTCGTCCCGATATCCAATCCGGCGAAATTCGCGTCCTTCTCCGCGATTAGCGATCGAGGCTCTCGTTCGTCGCCGGGACAAATTCCCCCGGCAGGGGATATCGGATATACTGTCGGACGTGGCGTGAATCTCCCCCGCGAGAGCATCGTTCCGTTCTCGTTCGGAGCGGTGTCTTCGAGTAACATCGGCCATCCACGTTGCGACGAACGAGCGGTTTCACCGTTCGCTTCATGGCTCGCGAAATAACGGAGAGACGAGAATAGTCCGGAGGAGAGAGCCTTATTGGGCCGCTGGAATTTCCTCGTATTTTCCCCGAGCGTACTCCGGCGAGGGTATTGGCGAAGGAAGAGGCCGAGGGTCGGCGTTTCAGGGGTTAAAATCCTGGGATACACGTCCGCGTCGTTATCGAGCAGACGCTCGCGCGCGCGAAACCGGGGTTGTTTCGGAAGAGAGAGTGGTATCTCCTCCTTCTTCCTCGTCGTCCTCCTCCTCCTCGACTCGGTATAGACCTCGCTAATGCCCGTCATCCCCCTTTTATCCTTCCTCTCTCCGGCCAGGAAACTCTTTTCTCCACCCTCGCTCGACTTCCGCGCGGCGGACGAGCGCTCGTAAACGGACGCGGAAGAGCGCGCATAATTTTCTACTAAAGCGCGAAGAGGTCGTCGAGTGTTTCCAAGAGACGTTTTAAGGATCCCCCGCGTACTCGCGTCTCCCCTCACCTCCCCAGCCCGGCGAGCTCGCTGAGAGTACCGAGGATACAACAGCTCGCCCGTCCGTTTCCCGCGCGAGATTATCGGATAAAAATACGATTCGTTATCGAGTGCTCGAATTGCCGAGAGGAGAAATCCGCTTCTCTCGTATTAAAGTCCACGCTACTTCCGCTGTAATGGAAGGAGGGAGGAAAAGAGGGTAAGAGATGCGGAGAGAGAAAGGGAGAGGCCGACGAGAATTTAGCAAATCGTGCGGATATCAACGCCGCTATCATCGACGTTGACACGAGCAACATTCGTTCCTAATCGACCATAAAAGTCGTAGCTCGTTTGCGAGAGCGAGGGGGCGAGCGAGCAAAAAGGAATCGCGGGCGCGTGGCAGATATTGCGGCGGATATGTCCGAAGATAGAGTCGTTTTAGGACGGAACGCGGAAAAACGAAGGAGAGAGCAAAACGATAACGGGGCGCCGCCGCCGACGCTGCTGGCGTTGCTGGTGGTGGTAGAAACAATTCGCCCCGGGCAATGTTCCGGAAAGAAGGGAAGAAGTTTCAGTTGTCACACGACAGAAATAGTGGGGCCGTTACGACGTCTCTCGCTACGCCGGAATCTCGTTTCAAAAGAGTGTCTGCGATCGTTGACAATGTGGATCGTAGATCTCTTCTTTTTGGCCGAGCGCTTTTTCGCACTCGCCGTATACTTACTTACTCGGAGGCGAAACACATACAGACACGTATGTACACAGACGCCCGCGTGTATTCTCGGGTCGTCGATGAGAAAAGAAAGCGGGACGATCAAGCCTCTCGCTGAGGTACAGTTAGGAAGAGAACCGTGTTCGCGATACATCACGCTGTAACGGAGACTTTGCATTGAGCAAATACGAATCGAGCGATTCCGCGGAGCGGTATTGTCCGGGAGAGAGATAACCGGGCAGTAGCTGGAGAATCCCGTCGAGGCGATTGCGCTAAGATCGACGGATATTTCATTACGAACCGAGCTCGGCCGACAGTAGTTGGAAAACGCAAAACAACGCGGAGGAGAAGGGCCGGGGCTATACATCCAGCTTGAGTAACATAGTTAGGTGTGCGAGTCGATGGGAGAATAGAGGGTCAGAGTGGTGGCCATCGGGGAATAGAGACAGCGGTAAGGGCGGCAGAAGAAGAGGTGGACGGAGGGGGAGGGGGGTAGAGTAGTGGAAGTACACTCGTGTCGAGAGGAGATTCTGAGTGCTCTCTGGAGAGACGGTCGTGGATAGAACGAGACACGCCGGGGCGAGACATCGGAGCTGGGAAGCGCGAGAATAAGGGTGAGAGAAGAGAAACGAGGCGAGAGGAGTCTGGAGGACGCGTCTTCGTCAGCAGCGCTACGTGCTGGTGGTCCCCGCAGCTCCCTCCTCGTCATGAGTGCGAGTGAGCGGTCCTGCACTCGCGTGCGAAACGTGCCGACGAGGAAAACGGAGGAGACAGGAGGACGAGGTGGAAGAGGAGAGGAAGTAGTGGTGGATGAAAGGGAAAGAAAGGGAGGCGCGGGGAAGATGGAGAGAGAGAGAGGACGAGCCAAGACCCAAGAGGATTCTCGAGGTCAAGATCGAGAGAGTTTCAGGAGAGCTTCTTCTCCTCTCGGACTCGAGCACGGTCGTTTGCGTCATCGGCGTGTTCGTTCCAGGCCGCTTAAAATAGCACGAAAAGTTGCCGCTTAATTTCAGTAACTTTCAAGAGCACCCCCGCGCGCGCGTCCACGGGCGGTCTCGTCTCGAACTCTCGAGACGCTCTCGCGAGTGTTTTCATCTATTACACCAGACGCGAACGGACGGACCCCGCCACTTGGCGGGGATTAAATCGTGTTTACGCTGCGCGTCGCTCGACGTATCGCTGAATCATCGATGAGATTACGAGAGTCACCGAGAGCCGCGAGCGGCAAAACAACGTCTCGCGTCTCAGGAGGATCGGTTTCACCGCCGGGGTGTAACGATTCTCACCGGGGCGGGCGGTAAGCTCGGTCGGACAGGTAGCGAGAAAAGGAAGTAGCCGAGTTACGCGAAGCACCAGGCGCTTTGGATATGTTCCGCGAACGAAACGACCGACGATAGGTTTAGCGCGCGCGCGAAATATTTGCACGAGCGCGAGAGAGAAAAAGAGAAGACCGTTGGACGTTGGACAGTCGAGACGAGAGGATATCAACCAACCGTCTTCTCCGAATCGAATCTTCTTTATTAGCGCGTCTCAAAGAAGCGGCGCTCGCGCTATTTGGTTTCGCAATAAGAGACTCTGGAAACTATCGAGAAATACCGACGAGAGCTCAAAGTCTCTCTCGCGACAGTGCCGCTTTATACAGTCGAATTCCCACTTGATTTTATCGCTCGAGACGATTCAAACCACGAAGATGCTCTCTCGCGTTGTTTTCACCGGCAGCGGTAGAAAAGTACGTGCGCGACTCACCGCCATTGGACTTGAGGTCGTCAGGCTGGCCGCGGTGCAGGTCCGGTTTCGTCAGCATCGAGAGAGGATGTGCGGCGGTTCCTCCTGGTGTAGCGGCAGCTCCTGGTGGGAGACCCAGGCCGAGCAAAGCCGCGGACGCCGAGGTGGGGACCGGTATACCCGCGCCAGGACCCAGTCCGGGAAGTCCGGGTATACCCGGATGCGGTCCCATCGCCGCACCCGGCGGCAATTGTTGGGCGTGCATCTGTTGTATGAGTCTCGGCAGGTCCGGCCTTTGTTGCTGCAACGAGAGAGGAAAAAAGGCCGCACGGTCAGTAATGTTGTTTGCGCAACGCGCGACCTCCGATCGCTATCGATGATCGGTTATCGCCGCGGCTCCATCATCGTTGCTGCTCGCCGGAGCGTCGCGCTTTCGTGCGAATCGCACAGGTTCGCACGTCGACGCGCAGAACAACGCGCGATCTCGCCGGCTCTATCTCGATAAGTTCGAAGATTAGATTAAGTAAGTGGCGAGGCAATTAACGGGCTCGAGTGCGCGTAACGGTGCCTCGAGTATTTCCGCTGTAATTACCAGATAAAACGAGCCCGGGTATTATTCCGCGAGACGTGAAAAAACGCGATGTGCGGGAATCGAGGCGATCATCGCTAAGAGCGCGGCAGATTGGAATCGAAACGGTGGGACGGGGAAAACTTTAATAGCGCGTCGATATTATCGCGCGAGAGAGAGAGGGAGAGAGAATAAAACGAAGTGGAACAGAGGACGAGAAAGAGAGAAAGAAAGAGGGGAATGAAGGGAGGACAGAAAAAGAACCCGATAGAAGTTCGGAAATGATTTTTACGGGCTATCGGTTTAGCGCGGCGGTGTGTACGCTGCCGCAGCTTCGTTAGGAGAGTCTGTTTGCCGAACGTGAACTCACGTTTCCAGCGCGGACAAATGCATAAGCAAATAAAATCGCGCTCGCGCGCGCAGCGAGCGCGGATTTAAAAGCACGGCACGGCGCGCCCGTGTGTCCCTCCTGCTCCTCCCGCCAGTCAGCTCTTCCTCTCCTCATCCTCCCCCCACCCCCGTCATAATTGATCAAACAATTTCGTTCCCACGAGGAGACAGGGAAACAGCGAGGAAGGAGGGCGGGGGAAAAAAGCAACACAACGATAATTCGCTGGAAAAATCGCTCCGCTTAATTCCGGTCACGATCGCGTTCTCCACCCGGCCGCCACTCCCCCCGACGAGAGAATTTCTCCCTTCTCCTCTCGCCGCGTCCCGGCCACCCCTCGTCGTCAGCAGCCGCCGCCGTTACGCGAAAATACACTTCGTTACAGTCAACGGAGAGGCAACTTTCCATTAGCAAAGCATACAAATTGCCGAGTAAACTCCGGCAAGTTTGAGTAACCTCCGCGTTCGACCTCGCCCGAGTAAATCTAAGGCTGCGAAACAAGTGGAAAGACTTACGTTCACCCGTCGAGCGAGCAGGCGAATGCCGACGAAAAGTTTCGCGGAAATCTTAAGCGTATCCCGCCCGTAGTTTCCTCGTTAGTTGGACCAGGCCGCCAGACAAATTGTGGACCTGTTCAGCGCCGTTTTAACGGTTCGTGGATCACGGAGGTGGTGGTAGTGGTGGTGGTAGTCGTGGTGGTGCGAGGGCGAGACTGGCGAGTGCGAGAAGTACGAGACTCCGGAAGGAGGAAGAGGAGGAGAAAAGCGGCAAAGGGGGTGGGAGGGACAGGAAGGGTACGTAGACGGCGAGTGGAAGAGGAGAGTGTACACCCACACCCTCGCGCTCTGTAACCATGTACACTCGTTAAGGCAGGCCGGAGCGAATATTCCGGGGAGTAGTTTGCCGAGATAATTAAATGGCTTAACGATATAATAACCTCGCGTCGAGCGTCGACTGTCTGAACAGAGCCACCCACAAAACATACAAACAGAGGAACGTGTATAAGCGTGCCGGTGCTGCGCGGCGCGTCTGTGTGGAGAAACGGAGATTGAGCCGAGGTAGGAGAGAAAGGGGGTGAAAGGCAGAGGGTAGGAGGGAGAGAAGTAGAGTGAGAAAGGGACGGGAGAAGGACGAGAGGAGGCCCTACGGTCCACGAAGCCGTCTGCGAAAGCGTTGGCGGAGATTCGAGGAAGTCGGAAGCCCCTAGGAAACGTTTCGAGTTTCCACTCTTGATAGCGATAATAATCCTACCCGGATCCAACTTCCAACACGAAGCGTTACCTACCTACCTACCACTACCACTACTCGAAGGAGGAAACCACCCTCGTCTTCACGCCGAGATTTCTCGTAATAACGTAGGCAGCGACGCGAGCAACGAGAGGGGCTGGCTGACGTTTCAAGCGTATTGTGCGCAAAGTTCGACGACGATGTGATGCGAATCACTTGGGATTTCTTTTTCCATCTCCCGAGTCCTCCTCGCTGACTAGCGCGGGAGGAAAAATTGCACGGTCAAAGTTCTCCGTGGAAGTTACGGCCCCCCGTTAAAGTGAAATACGCGCGAAATAATGTTCGACCGCGGCTTCCGAGAATGGACTTCGGAATCATTTCCGATAATCGAATAAATCGGCTGTTTCTCCGCGACGCTGGCGGAAATGTCGCCGGATATTCTCCTCTCTTTAAAACGCCTTCAATTTCTCATCCCCTTTCTCTCTCTCTCACCTTTTCTCCCGAAAACACCGAGTCAACGTGCCTCTTAATCTCCGTGCGAATTTAGTCACAACACCTGCAACGCTCGTCGGGTTCTCTCTCTCCTTCTTACCCTCAGCAATTTTCCTCGTCGTCGTTGGCCGCTTGCTGACTCGGCCGGACGCAAAGCCACGACCGCGCGAGATCCAAAGGGATCGTCTTAACCTTCTTATATTGCATATCGTTGACACCCGGCGAGAGCGTCTTCGGCCGGAGAAGAAACGCGATCGTCAGCGATGCAAGTACGTTTGCGTCTACCGCGAATGCTCGTAAGCCGGTATCGTCGGCAATGCACGTCGGTGGTTTACGATTGATATTCCATTCACCGTTCGCACGTCGTCCATAGCGACATTTATGGCGATGATCTCGAGTAACCGCTATAAAAGGCAAAACGAGAGAGCTCATGACAGACAGACAGTGAGGAGGGAGAGAAAGAGAAACTACATCTACGTGATATCTACATCGCGATGCGAAATAATCCGCGAAATGATTATGTTTCCTCGGCTTGTCTGTACGTTGCGAAATCGAGCGAGCGTCGAGCGCGTCGCGAAGCATCTCGCGGCTTGTTCGATTCGATCCTCCTCCCCCTCCGCCTCGCATAGCTGGTGGGATTTAAGAGAAGAGAGTAGACTAAGGCGGGCGGTATCCCGGAATCCTGCTAAGGATTTGCCGCACGTACCCCGACAACGTCGCAGATCCGTGGAAGTTTCCTCGTGGAGCGGCGAACGGGGGAAGAAGAGGCGGAGGGGCGGCTGGAATGCTGATTAGTCGGCGTTCGTGCACCGTAACACTATAACCTACCACCGACTCGGGAAACCGGGCGGGAAGACTCCGGATAAGATTCAGGCAGTGCGAGAGAGAGAGAGAGAGGTGGCAAGAGGATACGGGCGGGATAAGGACGAGAAGGAGGATGAGCGAGGGAATGGAGGCACGGAGGAGACGAGCTAAGCGGAGGGGAGAGAAGCCGGTGGCTTAATAGGGAGGAAATTGAGTGCTCGAGCAATATTGAGGAGGATTCGGGATTCGCCAGGATCGTATCCGTCCGTCCGCTTTTGGATTCCTCGGACGTGCATCGGCTTCCACGTAGCGTGCCCCGCAGGGGTTCTCCACTCGCCACGAATGCTTTTCGCGCTGTCACGCACGCCGAATCGGCCACATCCACGAGTATGCCGCGAGAGAGAGAGAGAGAGCGCGAATACCGCGACCGGCCTCTACAATGCGGACCGGCCAGCCGGTGGTTCGGTTCGCCGCGGTCGACCGACCGGACGGCGGAAGATCCGCCTTTGTAACGAGCGATACCATTGGCGTGCACTCACCCCGATAATAGCGTTCAGCTCGGTCATGGTCACTTGTTTGGCCCTGTCGACCGCAGTTGCGACCTGCTGCTGATGCTCCTGCGAGAGAAACGGCAGGATCTGGGCGATGATGGCGTTCAACCTCTTCGCTATCTCCGTCTGGAAAAAAGAAAGGAAATGGGCAAATCGTGGTTAGAAAACATTCGCTCGCTCGCGAATTTGCTCTTCGTTAAATCGCTCGAATGCGGGATTGTTGACCATTGAAGGTAATCCGATTCCGATTGAGGGGAAAACCGAGAGGGAGATTTCATTAGGTTCCTCAGTGCGCAATTTTTTTGCCGCCCCTCGACGACCGCGACGGTACAATGGGGAGAGGAGGGTTTTGTTCGATCCGACACTGCGCGCCGGCATATATAGTCCGCGCCGTCCGGGCCCTCGGGCGACTTGTTCCGGATCGTTAAGAAAGGTAAGGGCTAGCTTAACGCGCCCTCGCGAAGGAAACGAGTGAAGATGCAGGTGCGGCATAACCGACCGAGGGTGTTTACGACGCCCTCCGGCTGGAAGAGACTGCCGGGGAATTAAATTAAATCCAAGCAAGATTGCCACAGTGGCGTAGGTATTGCTCTCGCGCCGTGTAATCTTGCTTTGGCGAGACGATTCATTCCGGCACACTCCCGATACTCCCGCGGGCTTCGCCGGCTTTTTTCCGCCCCTTTTCCTTTTGTTCTATTTTTCTACCGGAATTTAACAGGGCGGATTTCTCGAACACGCGTTATTCTTCGTAATTCCGCTATCGGGCGCACTATTCATTTCGACAGATGAGAGAGAGAGAGAGAGAGAGAGAGAGAAAGAGAGAGACCGAACACGTACGTACCGCTCGCTCGCTGGCACGTATCCGATATTTCTTCGCTCTCCGCGACTGTTCCTCCTCCTCCGAGAATACACCGAAGCGGGAGGGGGGAAGCGCTCGAAATAACTCTGGGCGCGCGGTTGCGGGCAATCGCGCGCGCGAATCTACACGGCGCTCCAGCCAGGTAACCCGACATAATAATTCACACGGTGCAACATCACACGGCGGAACTCCATTTAATTATCGCGGAATCAACAGGCGGCGCACGGAGTACGCGCGCGGAACATTTTCGACGCTTTCGTCGAGAAAATGAAATCACTTAATTACCTCGACAAAGCGGCCGAGAGGCTCCCTCCCGCCGCCGTCGAGCTGCTGCGCGACTGCTACCGCCGCTCGTTTGCCCGCCGGTAGTACAATTCGCACGCTCGAGAGACGCGGAAGCGGAAGCCACCGATTTCGTCGTGGAACAGGAAGCAAACCCGCCGGTTTACGTGTGCCTCGTTCCCCCTTACTCTTCTTCTTCTTCCTCCTTGCGACTCGTAAACGCCCCGAAAATGTAAGCGCGGCGAGCTCGCCGCGGCTGATATAAACGGCGAGCTTCCGTCAACGGCGCCGGCCGTTTTCTCGCCGCCGCTCGCTTAAACGAGCCTCGGGATGCTAATTGAAATATCGCCAGGCCACTGAAATTCTTGGCAAGTTTCCCTCCCCCGAGCAAGCGGCGCGTCTCTCGGTGTCTCTCGGCGAGCGAACGAGCGGCGAAAGAGAGAAAGAGGAGGAGGGGAGACGAAGATAGAATGAGAGAGAGAGAGAGAGAGGAAGGGGGGGGGGAACCTGTTTTAATTACTCGTCGCCCTCCGAGTGCTCGTTATTAAGCCGCTAATTATAACGCACGCGAAAATGAGTCGAGCCATCCGCGAACATCGTGTACGACAGCGAGAAGGCTTACGCGTCGCGCAAACACAGTGCAACAGCGGCGGGTTGTAACTCTTTATGGAACATCAGCATTTCCAGCGACGCGTAGCCCGCATAATGAAAATGCGAATGTAAAAGCGAATGAAGAAATTCCGTAAGAGGCGGACTCAGCGGCTCGAGATGGGCTTGACGTAAAAGTCGCGCGCGAAATAAATTGACGGTATTTCCTCTTTACCCTTTTCTTACGCGCAACGCACAGACTTCAGCGGGGCTTCTCCCTCGCGTAAAAAAGGGTCGCGCGCAGGTGCGAGCGATTGGATAAAATTTAACGAGCGCGATTTCGAGTGTATCCGCGCTTGCACGTGCGCCGCTAAACGCGCGTTTTAACGATCGGCACCTGGACACGGTGGTCGCGGGCGATTATCGCGACGGGGGGCCCTCGTCATCGCGTCGCTGTCGACGTCGCTCGCAAAGAAGGTAGCGCGCGAGAGTTCGGCGACGTAACGCGGGTAAAGTTCCATCTACTCGACGTACTGTACGGCAGTTTGCGACGAGCCGGAAGATTCCGAGCGAGCGAACGAGCGGTAGGACGAGGACATTGTGGGCGAAATGCCGGAGGAAGAAGGACGAAGAGGGGAGGACGACGGGGATGGAGCCGTTGCAAACGTAATTGCGTTGCCAAGAAGTTTTCCCCGGGTGAGAGGTAACCAAGAAAATAATGAATGGCTCGGATGCTCCGCTCCTCTATTCTCTCGCGAAGCCAGAAACGCGGGGGGGGGGGGGAAGGAAGAGGGGAAAGAGGAAGAGCAGCAGCGAGAGGATGGCGGCGGAAGCGGAGGACGAAGCGAGAAACCGAGTTTCGGCCGTGGCGGTTCTCCTTGTTGTCCCGGATTTCACACGGGGGAGAGATGAAAACCTCGCCTCGGAATGAATTTTTCTCCGCCCGTGCCAAATTGCACCGACGAAGATTGCCGTCTCGCGAGGAAAGGAGAGTTCCTGCTCGCGCGAATGACTACCTTTTTAAAGCCAAGGCACTACCACGTCTCGGCTACTACCAACCGTGTCGCGTGGTGGTATCGAGAGCGGGAGAAAGAGGAGTGCGAGAATTCGGCGGCGACTCGAGGCTGCAAGCTCGATCGTGGCACAGACGTCACGAGCGGAACGCCTCTGATACCTCCCTTCTTCTCTTCCTCCTCCAGGTGACTCTACTTCTTTTCGCATTTGCGTCCTCCGCGGCGAGGGGAGACGCCGTGACGTGGCGGAACGGAATACGCAGATGCCCCGGTTCGTAATATCGCGAAAACCGCAAGGAGCTCTCGCAAAGTGCCCCGCCTTCCCTTCTGCTTACGTGCACGCATATATCACACCGCTGCTCGCCTGCACACACATACGCGCGTACACACTCACACGTGCGCGGCATATGCATACGAGCTGCTGCGAATACACCGCGCGCATCTCGCAGAAATCAGGCGCTGCTCGAGACGCTCTCCCATACATATAAATAAACACTATACCGTATCTAAAAGCAGGCGGTAAGGCATGAAAATGCAAAGCAGCCGCCGATAAAATTCCTCGCCTGTAAAACGGTGACGTGCACCGAATTCTCCGCCGCCGATATAATACCCGCAGACCGCCACGGGGAAAGACACGCTTCGCGACCTCTTACCCATCTCCCGTCGAACGTGCGCGAGCGATTTCGCGTTTTTATCCCGAGACGAGCCTTATTGTTCGCGCCGCGGACAAAAGTGTTTAATCGAGGAGTCGGCGTCAAATATTACTACGGAGGGAGAGAGAAGAGCCGAGAGTTCGCGGCAACAAAGCCACGCTCGCCGCCAACCTCCGCCGACCAACCGGAAGCCGTTACTTGCGCTAACGAGTAAACCAACGGCTGCTCGTCGGACTTTGGTGGTATTATGCTGCGCGAGCAAATAAACTGGCGTGTTCGGCTAACTCCCTGGTTTCTGGTAAGCCCCTGCTGCACACCGGCGCGATGGCTCTCTCGCTCGCTCGCCCGTTCGCTCTCTCGCTGTAAAGCCCGGCTAACGTCCGCGTGATTGCAATATCCCGCGGCTTGCGGAGAATACCGGATGTAGCGATGTGTACGCGCGCGCATCTGTGTACACACGCTGGACCACCGGTGGACCACCGACGCGCGTGTGTGTGCGCGCGCACCAACGCGAGAGGTGGATGGATTAGAATGAGCGAGATCGAGCCCGGCCGTTAAGGTGCACGACAGCCCGAAAACTCATTGTCCGTTGCGACGTATTACACCGATAAGTTCGATCAAATCAATTTTCCATCCCGCGTCGCCCAGCATACCGCTTCGTGTCAGCTAGTTTTCATCACTCGCCCCCGCGCATCCCGGCGTCTCCGTCCGGCCCGTTTGTCGCGCGACGACGTGAAAAGAATCGATAATGCGCCGTGTCTTTTGTTCCATCCGTCGCGCGCGCGCCGGTATCGACGCGACGCTGCTGACAAATAGGTCAAACGCTGTAACAGCAGAAATTCGATACGGGGGGACGGGAGAGAGAGCGTGCCTCGCCGGTTGATCCGCCGTAATATCGCCGGTGTACGTATACGAGCGTTCACGCTCTTCGGAAATATCGCCGTTCGAAATCGGGAAATCGATTGGATCCCGCGTCCGGATGAAATCGCGCGTAAAAGCAGAGAAAAACCGCTCTCTCTCTCTCTCTCTTTCAGCGCCGCGCCCGTTTTGCACGTGTGACGAATACGCTCGCGAGTTACGCGCGAGTTACACGCGAGCTACGCGCGATCGTCGGCGCGCCGGTCCAGCAACGCCGGAAATTGCTCGTATAAATATTGGAGCTCGTCATTTTCATTCGGTTAATTTTCCATGGTGTACCGGACACGGCACGAGAGAGACCGCGATGGAATTTTATGCGCCTCGCGCTCGCCCCGACGCCACTGCGCACACACCACTCTCCGCAAACGCGATGCGATGGGTGTTTCATCCCCCCGGCACAAGCGCTCGTTCGCGCGTATGCATGTATGCACGCGCGCGGCCGGCCGGTGATCTCGTTGGGGGAGAGAAAAAAATCCTCGGCGTCGGGGGCAAAATACCGACTCGCCAACTCGAATATATCTCGAATCGCCGTTAAACGGGTTATCGGGACGAACGGGTTACGAATGACGATGATGCACGCTGGCTGCATCGTGTCGGCGGTTGTTGCACCGCGTGATGGAAGATATAATTGCCTGTCGCGATGACGCGACCTCACGCCCGATCGTACTCTAACCCGGTTTAATGGTCGTTCGCGCTATGCTAAATATAAAACGCGATAAAATCAATGCAATTTAATTTTTCTCATAGCTACGTTTAATTTAATGGTGAATGAATTTTGTAAAGCCTCGCCGGACGGTAAAATACAGGGAAATA